TCTTTCCCTGTTAGTTTCTTCCTTGTGGAAGGAAAACTGACCAGAGTAGACCTTGATTCCTTAATTCTTCTCTGTACCAACTATTTCTAATGCCAATCTCCAAGATGATACCAAGGAAGTACAGTGCTGTGAAATGGGACTTTATGCTTTTAGAGGTTTAAAAAGAAAAATAGAAAGAAATTAGGTATGTTGTTGAGACTTATCATCCTCAAACTTTGTATTTTATACATGTAACCAGTTAGGAATGAGTATCTGGGGAAATAAATTTAGGTTCCGTATTTATCTTTTATTTTAAAGTGGTTTTTTTTTACCAGCTTCTCCTGTGCTTTAGTTTGAACATTTGAGTTTCTTGACCTGATTTCCATGTAATCTCAATTTACAAAGCTATAAAGAGGATCATATTTGTTCTAATCTCACTCTTCTGCCAACAGGAACCAAGCAAAATTAAATCATAGTAGACTTTGAAAATGGGCTTTTTTATACTTTGATGTTTTTTGTGTTATAAAGACCTTATTAAGGTCAGGTATATTGGTCTGCTTGCTGTTGAAATTTGCCTTCTAGCAAACATGTGTGCTTTCTTTTCAACCTTGTGTTTGCTGCCAAACCTAATGTGGTTGAATTTGGGGGGGAAAAGAAATATATTTTCTCACCAAGTGAACATATTCTAATGCTGCATCAAAGTTGCCCTGAAGCTGCACTGAACTTATCTTGTTCTCTTTATCTGTGTTGAGCTTTCTAAAAAAAGACAAACAAACAAACAAAAACATACAAAAAAAACACACCCCAAAACCTCAAAACACTATTGAGGCATATTTTGTCTCCCATAAGAATTGTAGCATAGTGTGGAATCTTAATTTCTCTCTGGTTTCGAGCGCTATAGAGGAATGCACTAGATAAGACATATTTGCTGTTTACCTAAAGCAACTGTAACATTGGAAGACCCATCTTTCTGTATTATATTGTATAATAGTTGCTATAACACTACTTGCATGTCTTCATGGTAAATTATATAAATATTTATAAAAATATAGAGAAACATATGCTTATATAAACTCATTCTTTCTCATTCTCCATTTGTAATTTCAAGATCACGGATGGAGAAATAACCGTTTTACTGTGTGCCTCGCGTACACTTGGGCCTTGCCTGTCTTCACTTTCTGAAAATACATTCTTGGCACGTGACACTTAAGATTCTTCTTGCCTTCCTTGCATATAATGCAAGGGTTGGCAGTCTTGAACAGGCCAAGATAGGTTATTTGATTTTCATTTTTAAAAATATTTTAATAGGGGGAAAATTACTGGGACATGCTTGTAATACTGGTTCAAAGATTTGTCTTGTTAATTACATAATGCTGTTCTTACGGTTAGAGTGGATCAACTGGGATGATAATCATGGGTCTGACGAATTGATTTTTTAAAAAAAATCCCTTAAAATTATCATTCTGCTTTCCTCTTTTAACTTCACTTTTTGAGGGGTGGTGGAGGAGTAATCTACAATTAAGAAATTCTCTTTTTTCTGCTCTACTTGCAAATTGTGCAAAAAGTAGCCAGCTTTACATCTTGACCCCTTTAGTCAGAAATGTGCTTGTAGTAACCATCGGAAAAGCTGAGAGGCTGTGGTGTGTTGTGTGTGTGTGTGATTTTATATCTGATTGACATTTCTCTGCTAGCAGTCAAAACTGGCAAAGATGGCAACTTAATGTTTTTCCTCTTTTTTAGTTCTTTCCATTTTTCTCACAACTTTTCCACTGTTTTTTCCTCCTTTTTCTAAATGGTACCCACAAACTCAAGGTCCAGAAATAGTCTTCCTGTGTAAGACTATTTTATTTTGCATGTAGAGAAAAGTGTTAACCAGAGATTTTTCTGCTTGATACTTTCAAAAGAAAACAAACTAATATTATGTATCAGTAGGTCCACTTGAAAGTACTACTATCTTACACAGGGTGGGGCAAAAGTAGGGTTTTAGTTCTTTGTATGGAAAACAATACAGTGACTAATAAATAATAATAATAGAATTAACTGTTTTGCATAGTCACAAGTGTAAACCTACTTTTGTCCCAGCCTACATAGAGATATTACGGTTTTTAAGTGCAATTTGTGCTTTTAGATAATACATGTCTCGGGCTAAAAAGAGAAGTTCACAGCCCTGAGTAAAGCCCTTTTGGCACAAGGATTTTTGTTTTTGTTTTATTTTAAAGTCTGATACAGAGAATGAGTTGTATTGTTGTTTTCAGTTCTTTCTTTTTTCTTTCTTTTTTTTAGTGATGGCATATTTCAAAATTCAGTGACAAACATAGATCATCCAAGTAATTTTAAACCAGTTTGGTTATTCTACCAAAGATGAGGGACATGGCCGTCAGTTAAAGTCAAGCCAAACTACACTAAAAGTATTATGGAGCAAAGTAAATTATCTTTTGAAAATCAAGTGTCTCATCATTTCTCCTAACCAGCAAAGTGGCTGGTTACCTTGCTCTTACCTTCCCTGTCTAGTCTCTGGAACTACTTGGGTGAAATGGAAGATGGAATTAGCAACATTTTGGTCCTTTCGGGTAGCATTCTTTCTAAGTTATGCTGCCAGATCTCCAGGGTGTACAGATGGGTAACGATTTTAAAATTCCACATAGTAATCTTTTTTGTTGTTGTTGTTGCCCTGGGGCACTATATTGGAGAAAAAGTTAAAGCATAAACTCAGATTCCAAAAAAAGATCACACATTGTTTAAAGACAGTCTATACAAGAGTTACAAAAAATAGTTGCCCAGGCATAAGCATACACAGGTTTGTTAATTATACACATATGGTTACAAGTGTGCTTGCAAAAAAGTTCATTGGAAATATACACAAGGCTCTGGAAATGTACACCTTGTAGTGTTACAATTCTATATTCAAACAAGGAAATTTGACAGTATGTAACATTCACTTACAAGTAGACAAAATGCAGAATACAATTCATCTTCTGTACAAAAAGGAAGGGCAGTCACATTACAAAGTGAGGGCTCCAACTGTAAGGAAAGCTGGGGCAGGGCCGAACTTTGCACGTCCTTTTGACTGTCACAAAATAACCAGAACATTCACATAGTAATCTTTTGCACAGCTTAAAGGCATTTAACTTTAACATATAGTCAACAAAAAAGGAAAATTGGGTCATACCAAATTTAACTTTAAAGCACAGATTATAAACATCTTTGAATGTTTAAGTCTTAGGCAGGCACCATCATTTTCAACTTGGTACGCAAGCTGGCCTTGCTGACAATGGCATAGCTACATTTACTGTTTTATTTTAGGTTGCATGTTGTGAAGTAAATGTTTTTTGTAACAGTTGCCA